CAAACATCCTTAAAGTTGCTGAAGCCTCTTGCATGGGGATTCATGCTCAAGATATCTTTTCTGTTTCCATGTCTTAAATGCTGTAATTTTTGTAATGAATGCTGAGAGTCACTTAGAATCATAAGCTCTGCCCTAAGTTCCTTGTCAAGTATAGGCCTAAGTCAACTCTTTTTCTCACAGGCAACAAATATGTTCCTCGGGCCATCATGGTGGACCTAGAGCCTGGCACCTTAGACTCAGTAAGATCGGGACCATTTGGCCAGAGCTTTAGGCCAGACAACTTCATATTTGGTATGTCATCATGGTCCATGGGTCCTAACATCCAGGCACTCCAGTGCTGGGCTGAGCCTTTATCCACCTAGATATTCTCCTCAGCTAACCCACCTATTCCAGTCCACGGGAGTCATGCCCCTGGCCACTCAGACAGCTCAGATCAGTGCAACTCTGTAAGTTCTCCATGACAAAGAAGCCTCTGAAGGGAAAGAGCAGCAAGCAGAGAAAGCCACCAACAAGGTTTCAGCACTGCTGGTCATTTTAAAGGCCTGGCAATAACAGAACCACTTCAGGACACCAGAAATCAAAGCACAGCTATGTGTGAGCAAGGAGCAGACAAGTGATTGCAGTTTAGCTTCCCTCTGACCACACTGTGCTTCTGTCCCTGTTGTGAAAGTAATTACATTTCCAGTATTGAGGCAGGCTCAGTTCTTCATTTCTAGAAGTACTTGATTTGGGTTAAAATGTATTTTCCTCCACACTCTCTACTTTTCTTTAGAACCTGGGTGATTTGTAGGGTCCCAGATACATTGAAAACATTTCCTTTATTTCACCATAGTGTATCTAAAATAATAGCAAAGGTTGGCTCACAACACTCCTTTGTCTTCACAATAGGACAGGCACAGTCATTATTCTTGGAGTCTGTGTCTCATCATGTCTTTATGTCTGATAGGCCAGAGCGGGGCAGGCAATAACTGGGCAAAAGGCCACTACACGGAGGGAGCCGAGCTGTTAGAATCGGTGCTGGATGTGGTACGACGGGAGTCAGAAAGGTGTGACTGTCTCCAGGGTTTCCAGCTGGCTCACTCCCTGGAAGGTGGCACTGGATCAGGCATGGTCACCCTGATTCTCAACAAGATCCGAGAGGAGTATCCAGACCGCATCATGAACACCTTCAGCATAATGCCCTCCCCCAAGGTTTCAGACACCGTGGTAGAACCTTACAATGCGATCTTGTCTATCCACCAGTTGGTGGAAAATGCAGATGAAACTTTCTGCATCGACAATGAGGCCCTGTATGACATCTGCTTCCGCACCCTGAAGCTGCCCACACCCACCTATGGAGACCTGAACCACCTGGTGTCAGCCACCATGAGTGGAGTCACCACCTGCCTGCGCTTCCCCGGCCAGCTGAATGCAGATCTGCGCAAGCTGGCCGTGAATATGGTGCCCTTCCCCCGCCTACACTTCTTCATGCCTGGCTTTGCACCCTTGACCAGCCGGGCCAGCCAGCAGTACCATGTTCTCTCAGTGCCCCAGCTCACCCAGCAGATGTTTGATGCCAAGAACATGATGGTCGCCTGTGATCCCCGCCATGGTCGTTACCTGACAGCAGCTGCCATCTTCCGAGGCCGCATGTCCATGAAGGAGGTGGATGAGCAGATGCTCAACATGCAGAACAAGAACAGCAGCTACTTTGCAGACTGGATTCCCAACAATGTGAAGACAGCTGTATGTGACATCCCCCCGCGTGGCCTTACGATGTCGGCCACCTTCATCGGCAACAACACAGCCATCCAAGAACCCTTCAAGCGCACCTCAGAGCAGTTCAGTGCCATGTTCCGGCGCAAGGCATTCTTGCACTGGTACACGGGAGAAGGCATGGATGAGATGGAGTTCACTGAGGCTGAGAGCAATATCAACGACCTGGTGTCCGAGTACCAGCAGTACCAAGATGCCACTGCTGATGAACAGGGGGAATTTGAAGAAGACTTGGTGGAGGAAGAAGTTTAAGACTTCCCATTGGTAGCAGTGCAACAGGACTGTCAGAACCTGCCTACTACTTCTCAAATGAATGGTGCTTTCCTGAGATCCTGTTGTCATGCATTGAGGTCCCTGCTGTGTATCATCATGCACAGCCTTTCCGGTCAGGAACTAACTGATGGTGAATGTAAAAATGCAGATTTCTTTTAAATAGTATTATTTTAAAGCCCTATTTATATAAATAAAGAAGTATACATTTTGTACTCTTGAGTCCTTATTCTTTAGAATCCCTTTTATTCTTTCAATATATTTGAAATATAAAGTTGCCCAGCAGGATTTAATCTTAGCAATATAGGACTGGTGCTCAAGAGGAGTTTCAAATTCATGGTGTTCCTATTATTTTGAACAGGAGGATGACAAGTGCCAATGTTGTTTATTTTCCCTGGCCCAGTTTTAAAGTTTGCAGTCTCTCAAAAGCATGCCAGTAGCATAAAAGCAGTTTGAAGAGAAAGTAAACCAGATTCAGATGTTAAAATTTTCCTAGTACCAAAGTGATGTTTGGAATACTGAAGGGATTAATGTTCAAGACTTGTCTGGGCACTGAGGTAGCAGGGCCTCTTCCTCCTTTATTCTGACACGGGACTTGCTTTACCTGCCCCCTAGTATGCATTCCTCTTTGGGAATGGGACCACAAAATGCAGGTATGAATACTGGCCATTAAGGATCTACTTCTCCTTCAGACAACCACAGGTTCTGGTCTCATGCCCCATCAGAGGGATTTCATTCACATTCCCCAGAAACAGTAGCAGGAACCCCAATCCCTGTGCTTACGGTTCAGTTGGCAGCGAAGCAGCACTCACAAGATGAGTGCAAGATCCTCGTTGCCAGGGTAGTTTCTCAAGTCATCTGGCAGCTCTAAGGACACAAGTGAGTCTAGCTGTTTGAGGGAGTGAGTATCTGACCAGTCCCATAGTGTATCAAGATCTGCTTGATTCAGTACTTACAAGTCAAGGAGTGGAAGGGAGACATGGCCCAATGACCCATTCTCATACTCATTTTCCAGCATTCGAAGCTGTCTGAGGCCCACAGAGGGTTGTAAGGGAAAAAGATCCAGCCTGTTGGGTATGTTTACTTTACATGAGTGAGACAGAAATCTCAATTGCTTAGAACCTACACAATGGCCAGGAAGAGGGTGAACACTTCTGTTTTCACCAGAGGCCAAAATCATTCACTGGTTCTTTTTGCCAGAATCTTTCACTCTTCTTGCAGTGAGGCTCAAGGTAGGTTGTCTGTGTCAGGCATTCCTCCATGGCCACCAATAACTTGTAAGAGCCCCTTTTTCTTCAGAAACAGGACCTATGGGAATCCAGCAACTTTTAGGAAGCTCTAAGGAAAGATACTACTGGGTGAGGTGCAAGTTCCTTGTTTCTAGTAAAGTTGGGAGATGGTAAGTTCCCTAAGCTTTCCTATACCAGGCCTGAGGTTGGGGTAGGTTGGGGAGGAGTGGGGTAGAGATCTTTAAGCCAAGTTGGTCTTACTCATCAGAAAGTAAACTCCCAGAGAGACTGATCTGTGACTAGAAGCCTCAGGGCAGATCAAAGTGCAAATAGCTTCCAATGTGGGAGTCCTAGGGAGTAGGTGTGGGCCAGGAAATTGACATCCCTGCGTCTCTAGTCCTGGAACTGACCAGATTGGATGACTCCAAATCCTTTAAGGCTGCTGGGTCCAAACTGAAGGCAGGCCTGGCCAAGGCACTCTCATTCTTCAGTGGGTTAAGGATTGAGGCCAAGTTGTGGTGGAGGCCCCACCCAGCCTATTTACCAGTGTTTGACTAAGAACAGTTTTGTTTTCTCTTAAGTACCCATTTTTGAGTATTTTCTGGTGGCTTTAGCTTATTTCTTTACACTTTTGAAGAAGTAGTTCTTGGTTCATAATTAATGACTCATGCCTCATCCCTCAGAAAACTCCTGTTGATAATTTTACCAGTAGATTATCATGTATTTCTCAGACATGGCTTTTGTTTTCTCCTAGCCAGAGCTCTGCACACATTGCCACACAAGCTAATGTTGAAGTGACTCCTATAGACAGGGTGATTATTTTGTCCAAATGCTAAGTGCAGCATCTCCCTTATTCTCATGTGCCTTGGTAATTGTATCAAATAATTGAGTCCTTGACTAGTATAAGCAAAGCTCTGGGTAAAGATGCAGCTCAGTGGTAGAGTACATGTCTGGCATGCACAAAGCTCTCAGTTCAGTACCCAGTACCAAAAGGAGGAAAGGTAACAAATGTTAGGCTCTGCAGATGATATATTAGGAGTCAAGGCAAAACACCCAGATTGGCATTGAGGAGTTGTGTCATGAGGGAACACTGGTAGAATGTTTGTAGGTGGAAATAAGAGAGTCCCTTGATATGTGTACCCTTTTAGAAAGCAGAGGTAGGAATGGGGGATGAACCTCTGGTAGAGAGCCTAGGCCATCAAAGGAAGAAGCTGTGACATGTATGTTGCCCTAATGGGACCAGAGTCTAAAGTGGCACCATCATACCAGGCCATGGCTCTACAAGAACAGGTTTGTCAGAAGAACCTTCTTGCATTGGAGTGATTTATTTTGACCACTTTGGCCTTGTTAATCATATTTCCTTATGCTGTTTTCTTTTTTCTTCCAACTTGTCATACCTATAGCAGATCTTGTCCAGGAGACCCATTCTCTCTAATTTCATTCTCTAAAAGTCTCCCAGTTTATAGCTGTACATATCCTAGACCAAAAAAGTATGGGGTGGATTTTCTGTCAGACATAGATTGAAACTGAAAGGTATTTTGAAGTAGACTTTGACAAGGTTCTGATATTGACATCGTTGTGTTGATAAATCCTGGAACTGACCAGCTTCTGGTCTAATTCTGAGGTGACAGTGGAAGAGAACTGGTGATAGGAAATCACGGACCAATGTGATTTCAAACCCTTGGCAGGTACATCTCCATTCATGGATGTGCTATCAGCCAACATACAGATGTCTGTTAAGGAGAGATGGCTGGGAAAAGGAAATATATTGGCGACAGAGGAGACCAGCCTTTGGACAAGTGGTTGCCTTTCAGTGTGAGGCAGACAAAGAGTGCCTATGGATACAGAGATATTTTCAGGAAGCAAGACAGCTTCACTCACATCTTGTTATCCACAAAATCATCTGAGAATAACTCTGTAAACTCAGAGGTGAGAGACATGTGCTTTGTGCTTCTGCACCACTGCTTTGCTGCGTGGCTCTATACGTTCTTCTGAAACCTCCTTCTGAGCTGGCCCACAATGTGCCCAGGAGGTGGGAAGTGGAGGGGACTTGGCAGCTTGGCTGCTAATCACTGTGGCCACACTGACATGTGGCAGTACACATGTGATGGGCATCGGCTCCATGCTAGTTGTATGTGCCCAGTGGGAGCTTTGGCTATTACTAGGAGAAAGTAACAGTTCCTCTGTCGTTGGGCCATCTCCCAGGTCAGGATGTCTTCATCTGCAGAGGCTGGAACTTTGCCATAGCTCTCATCTTGACAGGTTTCTTTCTGTTTTTCAATTTTCTCGTTCTTTCTTTGTTTCTTTTCTTTCTTTGTTTTTTGTTTCTTTTCTTTCTTTGTTTCTTTCTCTCTCCCTCTCTGTCTCTTTTTCTTTCTTTATCTCTTTGTTCCTTTCTTTCTTTCTTTCTTTCTTTGTTCTTTTTCTCACCATGGGTCTTGAACTCTAGGCCTAGGAACTATCTCTCAGCTCTTCAGCTCAAGGCCAGCTCTCTATCACTTGAGCCATAGTGCCACTATCAGTTTCCTGGTGGTTTATTGGAGATAAGTATCTCAAGGGCTTTCCTGTCCAGGCTGGTTTTTAACTGCCATACTCAGATCTCTACTTCCTGAGTAGCTAGGTTGACAGTCAGGGGCCATTGGTGCCCAGCTTGACAGGTTTCTTATTTGTGCAAGATAACAATGGCCATGTTCTGTCCTGTGAGGAGTTTCCCTGTCATCCTACAACACTGATGGTCTTAGTGTTGTGGCAGAGCACACAGTAAGGGGGCTTTCTATGCATGCACATTGACTAGTATCTGAAAAGGCAGCTTGCAATGGCCAGGAAAGCTCCACAATTGCATACATCTCAACTTGGACTGGGCATGAACAAATTTTAAGTTCTAGTGTTGGTTCTTTACCTTTGTGCACAGCTTGAGCAGGTTGTTTCCAGATGCCTGTCATTTAACTCAGTTACTCAATTAAGTCATCTGCTCTTTCTATGAGTCTGACTTAAATGACTGCTTATCAGAGGCCAATAACTGATTTTAAGGCTAAGTGAAACACAGCTAGTGCTCAGGCATGTTGAGTAAGAGTGCTATATATATAATGTACAGCTGCATGGTACTTGTGTTGTACACTTCTCATATCTTCACTGAATTCTAACTATTTCTTTTTGGGTCAGGGTCCGGTTGTGGGGCCTGAACTCTGGGCCTGGGCACTGTCCCTCAGCTCTTCTGCTCAAAGCTAAGACTCTACCACTTGAGCCACAGCGCCCCTTCTGGCTTTTTTCTTTTTGCTTATGTGATGCTAAGGAATCAAACCCAGGGCCTCATGCATGCAAGGCAAGCACTCTACCAATGAGCCACCTTCCCAGCCCCACTCTAAATATTTCCTATACAGAAGAAAGAAGCCATTCATTTTTGGCTTCTTTGCATAGGTATCTGAATCCAGCTAATGAGCCCATCTTACATTTGTTGGGGTTTTTTTGGTAGTTTATGGTTTGATTGAACTCAAAGCCTCATACATACTAGGCATGCACTCTACCACACCTCCAGCCCCCTTCTTGCTTTAAGTATTTTAAGTAATTTTTGGGCATTGCTCTTCCCTCACATACACCTCCCTCAGAGCTGGGATTGCAGGCATGAAAGACCTAGCCACAAGTATTTGGTTTGAAATGTTGTAATCCCATTGTTATTCTGGGTTCTCTAATTGGAGTTTTGTGGTATAGTACTAGAAGGCAGTGCCTTCTTACTTGACCTGAAATTATAAGCCTTAATCAGTGGACATAATTCTGCTCTAGACAATCAGAACCTCATATAAATGTGTGGACACTGCTCATTGTTGAACCATAATTCAGGATATGTTGCATGATTTTAAGCCTCACTTTTTATACGCACTCACTCGCGCGCGCACACACACACACACACACACGCACACACCATTGTCTTCTCTGGTGACTTTGTACATTTTCTGTGAGACCACCTGTGTCCTCTCCTGTGCATCTTGGAGCTTCTCTCACCAATCCTGCTATTCTCCAGCCTGTTCCCTCCTCCACTGTCCAGTCTCTGACCTTGAGAGAGGCTGAAGTTTTGTAGTACTGGGATTAGAAAAAGAGAAAAGTTAGATACACACATTTAAGCAGAAACCGCATCTCTTGAACTTTTAGGTGATTTTAGATGCACGTTTTCATCAGATCCTCACTCCTACTTCTTCTACTAGCCTCCCACTGCCATGTTCTTCTCCTGGCTCCCACAGAAGGCTCAGCTGATATTATAGGAAACAAAAACATTGTGCTTCTGCAAAACCTGCATTGCTGCTGCTTTGAGTGAATCTATTTTTGTCATGAGAATTTTTCTTAATGGAATATGGGAGAATCAGAAAAAATAATTATTTAAAGCAGTTTCACTTAAAACCTTTTTCTTTCTTACTCAGTTTATTTAAATTAACTTATATGCCTAAGAGGGACATTACACAAAACCATCTTTCTATGTATATTTTTTTTGCTTCTTTCTGTGGTGTCATGTTTCAAATTCCTTAAACTTTTTGACACTAAGATCCTCATTGTTGCAAATATCCAGAATGGAAGGGAAGGGAAATGAGAATGGAGATCAACTAATATCTTACATTGTCCACTGTCTGGGGCTGCTATTTCCACTATTGGAATTGATGATGGCCAGATTGCAGATTCATTGTCATGAAACAGCCCTTACATCATTGATAAAACTGAGTAGCTTGGGTTCCAATTATAGCATTGGGCTTTTGGTGTCTGCATGAGTCTGAAGGACCCAAAAGCAAGCTCCTCTGCACAGAAGTGAGGTATCCTCTCCTGATACAGTGAGATAGTGTGGGAAGTTTTCAAAGGAAGAGGCTATTACTCAGCATTCCTATATTAGAGAATTTGGAGAGAGAGAGCAAAACAAACCCATAAACTGCCCCTAGAACTTGACTTCTTCCCACTCAATCCTTCCTCTTTCAGATAATAAAGCTGAGTATGCTGAGGAAGGCAGCACACTACTACCTAATTCAGATCTTGTTGCCTGGATTTCCTAGACAATTCCTACTCCCTTCTGTGATGGTCTGACTTAATATCTGACCTTTTCAAGTGTCTTCTCAGAAGGAATTCTGTCTTCAAAAACTAACTTTGTGGCAAATCTTTAACTCAGTTCACAGATAATCCAGTGGGAACAAATACTAATTGAGTATGCTGCATTCTACATCTTTTAATGATTATGGGCTTTAATTGTAAGTTTTAAAAGTTATATATAAAAACCAGGAGCCAGCTAGTGCATGCCTGTAATCCTAGCTACTCAGGGGTCTGAAATCTGAGGACTGCAGTTTGAAGTCAGCCCAGACAAAAAAGTTCATGAGACTCTTATCTCCAATAAACTACTCAGAAAAAGCTGGAAGTATTGTTGGAACTCAATTGGTAGAACACTAGCCTTGAGCACAAAGAGGCTCAGAGACAGTGCCCAGGCCCTATGTTCAAGAACCATGGATAGCAAACAAAATCCTATATATACTTAACAAAGTTTTACACATCTTCCTCTTTAGGTCCATCATAATCTCCTACCACAAGACACACTGCAGCTGGAATTTTGTAGTTCATGTTTCTCCAGCTTTGTGGCCTGGGGAGGTCTCTCCTGACAGGTCATTTCTACAAAGTTTGATGGGTGGCTGTGTTTTAACAAACTGAGTTCCTGTTCAACTCATGTTTACAAATGAATACACACACCATCATGGCACCGTTCCTCTGAGCAGGGCTGCTGATGAATTTAGCATGGATCTCTGAGACACAGACATAATTTCATTTGGCATTATTATTAATCCAGGCAAAATATAAATTGCAGCTGTAAAACATTATATCAATCCCATTGAAAACCTGGTATTGATTTTCTTCATAGATTTTTGAGACCAGAATTTTTTTTTTATATTGGTACAAATATATCATGGGATAAGCATGGAATAGTGGACAGTTTTTGATTCTTATGTGTTTATGTACAACAGTTTTATCATTAAACCCCAGCTTTCTAACAATGCCTTGGGATATCTCATTTAGAATCATGAGAAATTAGTGTAGCTTGCTCATTTAAAGGAATCAATTCTCGCATAACACAAAAACATTACTAACCTTGGGGGCAAATGACAAGGCTGCGATGAGGTCAGCCTCACCTAATGGACTACACCTCACACCAGTTGCTGGAATCTGCATCTGCAAGCCCTGTTGTCTTGTGTTATGTACAAACCTCCCAACCTCCCTCATTACAATATAATCTAGCAGGAGGCAGATGTCTACATCTGTAATCCTAGCTACTCAAAAGTCAGAAATCCATCCATACAATCTTGACCAGCTCAATTAGAAAAGTCTGTTAAAATTGAGCCTCCAAGTGATTAGTACAAACAGGACTGAAAGTGTGATTCAAATAGCCAAGTGCCAGTCAACTAAACAGAAAACCCTGAGTTCAACCCTCAGGACTTGTAGGGGGTTGGGGGGTAAGGGGAGAGGCAGCACTATATTCCATCTTGATAGTATTCAGAGGACGGAGAACTAGTAGGAAGTGTCTCAATGACTGTTGTCAGTCAAGCCCTGGCTTAGAACTCTGTGTATGAAAAGTTGTAGTTGTTCTTCAGTGGTCAGACTCAAACTACATAAAAAGAATAACTTTGTATGTAGGTAGGAATAAATTTATGCTTTGGCCTACTGCGTGAAATCAGAACAAGAAACCACCTTTGAAAACAGAATCAGCTTTATGGGAGGAGGCTGAGGAAGAAGCTTATTCCCTATATAGTATAGCATCAACCTCCCTGGAACTACAAAGCCTGTAAAAATAAACTCCAGCAAAGCATTGGCTGCGCCTTATGGCAAGTTTTTGTCCCCTGCTTAGACCACCTCCCCCCATGGCTGCTTTGCTCTCCAATTTCCTGTGGCAGTAGCATCCACCAGCACATAATGGGATACCGGCAACGGGATGCTTGCTGATCTTTCTTTCCAACCTCATGTCTTAAATTAGTCTGGCTCCATATCCCTAAGTTAATTTACTCCAGTTTATAAGACCTTAGAAAATACCTGTTGTTTCCAGATTCAATGTGTAAAGTCTCCTAGCAGGGGCAGGTTTTATCCGTTAGTCAATAACCGTTCAGTCAGTACCAGACAATCTTGGTGCTAAGTTCACTCTAAATTTTCCCTTTCTTGGACACAAGAAATCCCTCAAGTCACTGTGATGCTTGGGTCTTCAAAGAGAGAAAGTTGGAAATGCTACATATATTGATCAGAATGTCCTAGAGGCACTGTAAATACCAAAGCAGTTCTGGCTATGTAACCTACAACCGGTGGCAGCAGTCACCCTTGTATGATATCCAGGCTGTAGGTAAGCCTTTGAAACCTGCAGCAAGTAGATCGACAGACTACATTTTCTTGGAGGAGGCTTTTTAAAAAATCTTAGTTTTTATGATTTGCAAATTTTCTCTTTGGCAACTTGCAATCTAGAATAGATTTTTGTCATCTGCTCACACATGCAATGTTTTTACTTGTTCCCCATTTACTTTTTTAACTTTAGAAACTTGGTGAATACTTTAATTCAGTTTAAGAAGCCTAATATTGTAGCAGTAAAGGGCCCAGCCATTGGAGTAGGAGCATCCATATTGCCTCTTTGCGATGTGGTTTGGGCTATTGAAAAGGCTTGGTTCCAATCACCCTATACCCCCGGACAGGATCCAGATGGCGGCTGTAATGTTATTTTTCCCAAGATTATGGGAGGCGTGTCTGTGAGTACCTTCGTTGAAAAATTATTTTAGACAATGTCTTAAGGACCTATGGTTTGGATGTTGTTCTACTCAGAGTATCCGGTGTGTTCTTTGGGAACATTTCATCAATGTACTTGGTTGATGTACTGCTGTGATCCTTCCCAGGGGAAGGCCATTCCTCCCATGAGGAGCCTCCAGATCTGCATAAATCACACTGATATCCAGTTTTCAATCAAGAATTGTTCTCTAACTTCACAAGCTAAAAGCTGCCCTTTTAAAGTGGCAGTGGGAGGCCATGCACCAGTTGCTCACACACACCTGTAATTCTAGCCTTTTGGGAGGCTGATACCAGAAATGCAGTTTGAAGCCAGTATAGGCAGAGAAAACCAAGAGATTCTTATTTTAGTTAGAATGGAAAAAGCCACAAGTGGACCAGTGACTGGAATGGTAAGAGTGCCAGCCTTGAACAAATAATCCAGGTTAACAGCCAAGGGACCTGAGTTCAAGTCCTAGTATTCACAACGCCACCCCCTGCAACTGTACCAATACACCTCTGCCAACAAACACACAAAAGCAATTAGGGATCAAACTTGCATAAATAAAAGAAGTGAGGAGATGGGTTCAGTATAAATTTGTGGTTCATTTTTTCCCTATTGAAATTAGCCCAATCATGATGAGAGATTGTATTTGCATTTTCTCAATTACATACACCTGTTCCTTAGTTCTAGAGAGAGACTGAGAGAATTGGTAGAGAAGGGCATCCACAGAGATTGCACTCTGTTGAAGGGAGGGACTGGATGTCAGATTGGATAGAGGAACAAGTGAAACTCCTTTAGCTCCATCATTGAGTGCCCATAGTTTGGCCTGGCCAATTATCATGATGCTGTCTTCATACCCATCAATGTGGGGAGTGCTGGAAGACCACTATATCATGGAGAATGGCTGTAGCTGAGGGAGTTGCAGAAGGAACTGAGAGCCCACAGCTGGAGTAGCAGTACCTCCCTTTGGGGTTCATAACTACGTTTACCTCTGTGTCACTGGGACCTACCTCCTCATGCAGAAACATCCAGGACCTGGGGGTATCACTTCCTTAGGGAGCCTACAATGAGAGGAGATAGACAGTACAATTTCAGGCAGTCTTGGGAGCAATGAGAGTACAATGAAGAAGAAAATGTGTGTATCCTCTCTGAAATTTCAGAGGGTAAGAGTAACTGAGGAGAGAGAGCTGTCAGTCACTGCTGAGTGGGTAGGGTTGAGAAGGAAGGAACATTGGAGCTGGGAGTGGCCTGTGCAATCCTAACTATTTAGGATGCTGAGATTTGGACTATCATTATTCAGGACCAGTCCAGGCCAAAAGGTGGGTGACATCTCCTCTTAAGCTAGGGATGCATATCAACTTCACTACAATAGGAAGCCTAAAATAGGTGAGTCCAGGCCCTATAATGTACCTGGATAGGAAGCAAGACCACAACTGAAAAATGACCAGCACAAAATAGTAGTGTAGCTCACCTACCTACCAAGTCCAAGACACTGACTTCTAACAGGTGTACCATGAACAAGTATAAGGTTGGGGACCTCGGTGTCTCAGTGTTATGCACAGAGATGGCTGTAGCATCTGTTGCTCTGTGGACTCCTGGCAAGGAGGAAGAGTCCTTCCACATCCCTCAATCTATGCCTACCAAGACAGCAAATGCTGAGTGGAACCCCTCATGATGTCTAAGCATGGAAGTTTGGTGGGCACTTTTGTTCCTCAAAGGAAAAGAGAGCAGGGATCTGCAGGACCAGACAGACTCCTGAGTGAGAGAAAGGCAGAGGGAGGCAATGTTGAGGTTAGCATGGGGTTTGTGTTTAGTGACTAATATGACTTCAATGGAAATGTTCTGGCTTTGATTATGACATGTGCATCTAGGGAGAGCTGGGGTAGTCCAGGGAAACACTTGTGTAAATTTTCCATAGGTTGAAACTTACTCTAAAGTCTAAGTTGTTTTTGAAAACTGAAATGTGGAGAAGTTGTAAAAAGCACACAGCCCCCCAGTACTGGCACTGTTCTCTGTAGATGTACCTGCCCTATCCACCCTTCTACTGGTGGGTGCTTGTCCCCAGGGTGCCTCATGCCCTGTCCCTTTGTGCTGCTCAAGCCAGAATAGCTGCTGTTGGGCAGGGAGGATCAGGAAGCCCTGTTGCACCATGTACCAACAGGGCCTCCTTCCCTTGGAGGCATAACACATTACAGAGCTCTGCAGCACCCTATCATTGCTATGAATTGGAGCTTACAACACTTGAGCTTTGCCTGCATTAGGCCCCGACAACTTCAGAACAGCCTTTTGAGGACTTCTGAGACCTGGAGGGAGAGGCCTGGAATGCAGCACCTGTTCCCATTGAGCAGTGAGTTTTCCACAAGGAGCTAACAGGCTGAGGACCTTGGGAATGAGCAGTGCAGGGTGGCTAAACCTTGGTACTCCCTGCTAACATGCCAGGCATTCACTGACCTTTATATGCTAGCCCTCTGTGCCCACCAAACCATGGCCACTTGGTGTATTGTCTGATAAGCCAGGAAGTGATTGGCCAGCAACCAAGAATGACCAGTGTCAATGGGATCATAAAGTTGAATGTACTGTCCCTTTATGAGAGATCCCTGGTAGATGTGAATGTACTGTTGCAATTGACAACTCTTTCCATCAACTCATCCCTCCATTTATAACTCAATTCACATCCTACACCCTACGCCTAGCAGTCCAGGTTCACAACCAGTACTGTTCAGACCCAATACTTTGACATCAATTAAATGTCCAGTGCAGCCCCATTTGGGGTTATTTTCTTTTTTGTCACTATAGGATGATAGTGTAAAAAGTTACCAGTCCCCTCATTGGCCTGCATGCCCACACTCTCTGAACACAACCAATCCTGAGCCATTTCTAAAAGCTAAAATTCTTAGTATAAAGGTGTCTTCTCAGAAATTCCATGCCAAGTTTTAGGCTCCTGTCTTTTCTTCACTTGTAACCTGACATACCTTCCTTGGGCAGATTATTAAGTTTTTCTGAAACTTGGCCAGCAAACTGAGAAGTGTAAAGTTTGGGCTCAGTCTCAGCCTCCTGCTTCCTTGAAATCCAAGAGTCCCACAAGGACAAGAAGGTATTCTGCCCTCACATGTGAGGACCATGTTAAGCACATGACAGAATGGGGGTAGGTCCCATAGTGCTCCACCTGACATTGAAATGCTGTTTTGTCCATTTTACTATGCTGTGTGCACCTGGCCCGACCAAATTAATGGTAGATCTTTAAGCTCATTGTGAGTTATTACTGAAGAAGTTGACTTGCTAACAATTAAATGCTAATTCTTTCACTAAAGAATCCTTATTTCAGGAACAGGTTATGATCATTGCAAGCAATAATCTGGGGAGTGTGTGGATGTGCAATGGTATGGGAGGATGAGGGTAAAGTAGAGGAAAGACTAAGTAAATTTGGATAAACACCATCTAGCCAAATGGCATTTTGGAAGTGGAATCTTTGTACTGAATGTTGACAGTGGTAGAATTCTTGATAGTTCATTGTGTTTAGAAAGATTCAAATTTGTTTGAAGTCTCTGTAGTATAAGCACCTGCACCTTGATTAATATTCAGTGTACACAAAAAGTGCATGAGTGCATGAAATTGTACACATACACACACATACACAAATTTGGAATTGAAGAGAGGCTATTAGTACAGACCTGGGACTAAAGAGCCTGTGCTACACGAAGCACAAAGTGACCTATAGTATGACAGCTGTTGCTCAGATTGTATGATCACCTTAAGCCATACTTCCAGCCATTTTTGTGATTATTTTGAAGGTGGAATCTCAAGACTTTTCTGCTTAGGCTGGACTTGGAGCCACCATCCTCCAGATTTAAGCCTCCTTAGTAGCTAAGATTACAGGTGTGAGCCACCAATCCTGGCCTACTGCTTGTGCATTTAAGTGGGAAACGGTTAACAGCCTTGAATCAGTCATTCACACTCTTGGGAAAATTCAGGAATTCCTTTCATTGTCCTGCACATCCAGCCATTTGGAAAAGAGAAAAGCACAAGTCAGGAATGACTCCCTAGTAACAAACAGATGTGTATGGAGCTAGCTTGAAAGAAGCAAGACGGGCCACCATACCAGTATGATGGCTAGAAACAGATGGCTCCAGTGAGACCAGATGAAGAGAACCAGGTAAGGGCATGAATAAAGGCAAATGGTAGAGAGCCATGTTAGAGCTATTGACTGACAAGGGCAGAAAACATAAAAAGTAGTAATGAGACTAGGCATGGGGTACGTGCCTATGATCCGCATACACATGTAGCTTAGCCCAAAGGCCTACTTAGACCCTATCTTAAAAAAAGAGAAAAGTGACTGAGGAGAACAGAGTGGAACCACTATCACTGGGTTCTCTGGACCTGAACATGTTGCCATATACTGTGTTGAGAATATACCTCCTGCTTGACTGGAGGGACTAGGATGTGGTTTCTCTAGTGTATGTTGAGAAAGAAAATGATGCTCTAAGATGGGCAAATTCAGTGGTCCTAGGGCCCCTCTCCTTTATCCACTCTCACTTTTCTGCCTTGAAGCACCGAGTTAATAAAAAGAACAATGTTTAGTGAGATTTCCAATAAGTGTTTACTTATACACCATCTTTTTACCCTAAGATGTTACTTTGTCAACCTGTGGCTAAGCAGGACATTCCACAATTTTCAGAAGCTCATGACCTGTCCAAGACTGTGCTTAAATGCCAGCCTCACTTAGGGTGATGTTGTGGAATCTTGCAAGGCTTTCTGCTGAGGAACAGGTTCCTTGCAACTGTTTTCATCCCGCTTGCTTCTCTTGAAGGGTGGTGAGTCAGCCACACCTGTGCCCTCCAGCATTTGCTCATGTGCTCTGGGCACTGTGTGGAATTAAAAAAGCAGTGGAAACTGTAGTACCCTCTGGGCAATTTTCATGAAGATTGCATCTCTTGAGAAGGGAGACTCTATCCACTGCTTGTTTACCTGAAGCCCAGAAGCCCTGGGTCTGGTTTTCAGCACTGCCAGGGAAACACAGAAGGAAGTCATCATTTCAACCCATTCTCCCCTCCTCACACTTCATGAGCATCTGGGAGCCTGTTGCTGGAATGGTGCAATCCACACACTTTCCTCTGGAACCAAAATGAAAACCTGGTACAAAATTAAAGCCAGTGTAATGTGAATAAGCTTGCATTGATGTATACACTATTACATGTTGTAAAAACAAAAGAATGTTCACTTCCTTCATGCAATCATTCGAAGTCATGTGTCAGACTCACCCCGCATGACAATAATTTTGGGAACATCAAAGTCCTGGCTGCTTTGTCTCTTATAGTTATATCCATATGGTGAAACGTGATGTCTAAGATGATATCCAGCAGGAAGAGCCTCAGCCATTAGAACATGGGCTCTGTGTCTCAGGAACAAGTCACTTTTCGTAACTCAGAGAGGAAAAGAAACCCCAGAGAGCCATTCCATGCCTGGTTCACTTCCATAAGATTAACAATTACTTGGCATTATTAATGGCTCATTGTCTTGCATATGAAGAGTTCACACATGGGAGCTGGCATTAGAGGACAGAGTGCAGATAAAGGAAGTTAAAATAATAACCTCAAACCAAAGCAGACCTTTTTTAGTTCATATTTTTGGATTATCAATGAGGTTATGTCTTTCTCTTAATCACCCAGCCCATCTGCAAATTGGATCATGACCCCACACAATTCATACTTGGTGTCTACTAGCACCCCCCCCCCACAGGATCGGGGGTTTGTGAGTACCCATCCTCAATGTTGACATTGAGGAATGAGGCCCCCTCTGTCTGCTTGCATCATGTTTCACATCACATCACTCTGCTTTCTTTCAGGCCAATGAAATGTTGATCAGTGGATGGAAGCTCACCGCACAGGAGATATATGGAAAATGCCTGATGTCCCAGGTTTCTGGCCAAGGATGTCATGGTTCTAATCAAGGAGCTTGCTTCCTGTAATACAGTTGTTCATGTAGTTGGTTCTTTTTTCCTTCATGTTTTTTTTGTTGTTTATTTTATTTCCCATCCCTTCCTCTTCCCCTTCACCCCCCCCAACCAAAGTTGTAAAGTTCATTTTTTGACAAAACATCTTATACATCTGTATCCCTATTTAAACAATTTGTTTTTTCCCTTAGTTGGTTCTTTTACATGTTAGTTTAAAAAATAAAATCTTAGGCTGAGAAGGTGGCCCAGTGATAAAGTGCTTGCCTAGTATGCATGAAGCCCTGGGATCGATTCCTCAGTAACTACAGACCCAGAAAAAAGTCAGAAGTGTTTCTGTGGCTCAAGTGTTAGTGTGCACAAGCACTGAGTTCAGGCCCCAGAACTTACAAAAATGAATAAATTAATAGTTGATCGGCTATTGCCACTTAAGGCCATAAAAAATGGGCAACAAGGCTCAGGACTTTTGCCCCAAGAGCTTATGTCTCTGCCCACAAACAGGGTGATAAGGATCATGTGTCTCACTTTCCAATAAATATAAAACCCTGAAATGATGAATGGATTGATACAATGTGGTATATATGTATGAAGTTGCACACACACACACACACACACACACACACACACAGAAATCCCACTCATCCATCGGAGAGCATGATAAATACCATTTGTAACAAAGTGGAAACACTGGGAAAGTATTATATTACGGGAAGTAATCCAGACTCAGAGAACACAGGCTGCATGGTTTCCCTTATTTGTGGCAGCTACAATGCTCCACTAATTCCAGAAGCAAATACACTGGGTTGTATGCTAATGCTGACAGATGAATTAACTGAAATATAATGGACTCTATGAAGAGCAGAAATAGTGAAATATTTTTTCCTTTAAGGAAATGTTTAATAGTCTGCAAGAAAAAAAAAAATCCAAAAGTGTGTCAGGCAATCCATTCACTTGTTAATATCTTAGAAAGAAGGGTGCTCTCACTGCAGTGGGCCAGACTAAACATAGTCACACACATTTTTGAGACTAAAAATCCAAAGCCTACTGACATCACAAATAAATGTGTCTTGTTAAAAGTTTTAATCTATTTCTAGTTCCTGACTTTCCAGACCAAGAATTATTTTCTTACAAGGGAATATGAAAACATAAACATACATTTCTGGAAATGAGCATGAGGTTATTTGTTCTTTCTCAGAAGTTTGTCTCAATGAAAACAAACAACTGAACTTAAATGCTGAAGAATATAAATGTATTACTCCATCATACCATGAAAAGAATGTAATCTGTGAGCAAGGTAAACATGACCAACCAAAATAAGGCAATTAACAGAAGTCTCATAGAAGTAAATTTCTTCTTTTTCATTGCCATCTTAAACCCTTCACCTCTGTGTTCTTCTGGTACACAAATGAGAATCTGGCAGACCTCTTAAGGAGCAGAGCAGAATGGACAGTCTCCACACAGGCCAGATGAGCACAGTGAGTTGACAGGTACCCAAGGTAGGTATTTCAGTATGGGAAGCTGTTGGAATGATCCTTTCCTCATAATCCAAACAGTCACATGCTCATGGCAAGGTCCAGAAATGTCGAAGTGAGACTTATGAAGGTCACAGGTGAAAAAAGGCAATAATCTAGAATAAAAGATAAATGTTTCAAACAGGACTGTGGTAGGGCATAACTGTAATTCCAGAACTCAGGAACCTGAGGCAGGAAGATCTTCAATTTTAGTCCAGCTTGGCAATAAAGCAAGGTCTTGCCTTATGAAGCTCAGGTTTCCTATCATCACTTGCTAAAGAAAAACTACTTGCATGAGAAGCACCATCTGAGATTTCCATGGCACCCTCTCCGTCTTCACATTCATTGCCTTTACTAAGTTTTTTCTCTGTCACTATCCATTTCCCAGCTAATCAACTGCAATTCATCTCCCTTGTCCTTATCATCGGCACACAAAGTATTCTTGCCTATTCTAGTGCCATTCCCATTGTTTCTCTGCATTTTAAACAGTGTCCTGTCTTCATCTGAGTGATCATTTTCACTGTAACTCCATGGTATATTTGTGAGCTCAATGTACTAGATGTGGTTGTTTCTTTGGTCTCGGAGATAATTCAATATTTCAGGTGTCCTGAAATCCTTCTCCAAACTTGAGCCATGCTTCAGAGAGGGAGGGTGGCAGCTGTGCTCACTGTCCTAAGACTTGCACTTCTGACCTGTGGTGGACTCTTATTGAAAGCATGGATACTCTATGTCCCACTTCCTTTTCTTCTTGGGTCTGTTGGTGCCATCACCATAGACATGGTATCAGCTCGTGCTAGAATAATTCTTTGGAAAGAATAAGACAAAACCCAATAAAGGAAGCACAAGGAAATTATATATTGTTCAGTGTGAAAATATAAAATTCATAGTGAAGCAAAATTTATGGGGATCAAACCTCCATTTTCAGTGGCCTTGAATGTCAAGCCATCGTACTAGTTCTCTATGTCTGTGTGTAACATTTATAGTCAGGCTCTTCTTGTGGTCATGTAGGTCCTATTGACCACCAGGAGTCACTGGAAGTCCAGGGTACATTTGGTACATGGGTGGAAGGGTTCTCCTGGAGAACCATTTTGGCACTGACAGGCCAGGGATGAAGGCAAAAAGCCAAAAAAAGGCAGCAGTAAATGTAGGGGAGGCTGCAACAGTGGCTACAGTCACAGCCTGAAACCCGAAGGGCTACAGCATGGTCACTGCAACCTTTGGAACTCATGTGCTCATGGGGAGCTCAATTAGCATGCACAGAGCAACGAAAAGTTGGGTATCCTGAAGCCAACGTCCAGACTGCTGTGGCGGTACAAACTGAGGATTGAGGGCTGAGAGTGGTCAGTCCAGAGGCCCAGTGGTTGGAAGGTAAGTACACATAATGGTCGCTTAAGCCCTGGAGTCATTTGACAAGGAAAATTTGTTGTTTCTTTTCCCCCTGTCTAAGCTGCCTTCCTACCATCACCCACACACCTCGCTTCCTCTATAGCAAGAGCATAGTCAAGAGGCACCCCACTCAGCTTAGAAGAGATTTTGCAGTGGGCCCCTAATGATCCCTACCTCTTCAAGAGGCTGCAGCTGGAGCCGTCATTGGAAAGTTACATACAAACCCAGTGGGCACTCGAAAGGATGCCTGTGCTGCTGAACAGAAGTATGAGAAGCTGAGACCATTTGAATGTGGTGATGGAGGTGTGGCTCAGTTGGTAGACTGATAGCCAATGAACCAAACGGTCAGGTCCTGAGTTCAAGTCCTCATCTAGAACCAAAGAAGAAAGAGTAAAAAAGATCCTTTGTAGCATTTTTTACATTTGACATTCGTCCTATACTCTCACTAAATATATCTCTATATACCTATAAGAAATAAATTTATTCCTTTGTTGTTGGGCTTTAGCTTCATTTTTACATTACTGTATTTTGTAACCCAGGACATCATCAGTCATACTTCCACTCCATTTTTCTTTCTTGGTTCATTTTTTTCTTATCTATTCTAAGAGACTGAAGTCCAGACAAGGGCTCTGGCCATCATCTCTTTTTGCCCACATCCCTACTTTTTGCCTTTGTATCTTGTGTGTGTGTGTGTGTGTGAGAGAGAGAGAGAGGGGGGGGGAGAGAGAGAGAGAGAGAGAGAGAGAGAGAGAGAGAGAGAGAGAGAGAGAATAACGTAGAGAGGGGTTACAATTACATGGGCAAGGTAATGAGTACATTTCATATCAAGCATTGTTGCCTCCTCCTTACCATCCATTCCCATCTCTTCCTCATCCCATCCCCACCACGTCCCATAGTTTCCCTTATTTGCAATAATTAATATATGTCTGACACAAGCAGAAATGGTCAGATAAATGAAATGAACCCAGAGATAAGGTCTCATTTTTTTCTTGCCTTTGTATCTTTATTGGAGTCTTCAAACCTCATGCAATTTCCAGCCAGAAGTGATCTCCAATGGCGGTTCTCAGATGCAACCTCTAGACATATGTAGTCATGAGCTAGCAGCAGCCGACTTCTACTATAATTTATGCTGGTGATCTTCCAAATCATTTCTCAAAATCTAGGCTGTTCCTGATAGCTTGTAACCCATATCCTTCAGCTCTCACTCTCCTCAGAATCAAGGGTTTCAGGTTCAAACCACCAGCCTACAGCTTAAGACTTGTTTCATCTTCCTTTTTACCTTTTTTATCTTGATGATTCTTTAGAAATTAAGAGTTTCAATAAAACCATGGACTGGGGGCCTAGGAATGTGGCTTATTTGTAGCGTGCTTGCTTACCATGCATGAAGCCCTGGGTTCGATTCTTCAGTACCACATAACAGAAAAAGCCCGAAGTGACACTTTGCCCCAAGTGTTAGACCACCAGCCTTGAGCAAAAGAAGCTCAGGAACAGATCTCATGCCCTGAGTTCAAGCCCCAGGACTGGCAAAAACAAAAACCAAAAGCCAAAATCAAAAAATAAAAAAAGCAACAAAAACAAAACAAAACAAAACAAAAAACTATGGATTGCTGGTGCAGTTGACTCATACCTATACTCCTAGCTACTAATGACACTGAGATCTGAATGTTCCCATTTGAAGCCAGCCTGGGCAGAAAAGTCTGAGACTCTTATGTCAAATTAATGACAATAATCCAGAAGTGCAGCTGAAGTTCAAATGCCAGAGTTCTAACATTTAATACAAGGAGCACAGGGACAGCACCCAAACCAGAATTCAAATATCTCTAATTGTTGGAGATTGTGGTTTGGTCAATTGAGCACTAGTCAATGAGTGAAAATGGCAAGTATTGAGTTCAAGTCCTGGTTTGAGACCAGAAGAAAAAACAGAAAGTAAAATCAAAGAAACAGACATTATAATAATAACTGGGGGGTGGTCACAGAGCATAAGCAGGCCCTGCCTCCATTCCTCCCTCTTCCAGCCTTCTCTGACTAAGCAGATGGGCAGCCTGGCCTGACTTGCTGGCAGTGGAAGAGGCTGCTGGTTTTGGGGAATAGTACCAATGCCCCCAGTCCCCAGCTCAAGTAGTCAATGAGGAAAAAGATTGTGTGGGAGAGGCCAGTGTTGCTGCTGCCTTAGGCTTCATCTCATGGCTGGCTCTCTGCCAACTTGGTCATACCTCCCAACTCCCTTAATGTCTATTTTTTTCAACATATATTTTATTTTACAGTTTTGTATTTTAATTTTTTAATGAATTTATTTATTTTGTTTTTGGTTCTAGATAAGACATGAATTCAGGCCCTGGCCATGTCCAAGACCATTTTTTTTTGTTGGTCATGGGGCTTGATCTCTGAGACTGGGAACTGTCCCTCAGTTCTTCAGCTCAATGCAAGAGCTCTGCCACATGAGCTACAGTGTTACTTTTGGTTTTCTGGTGGTTAATTGTAGTTGAGTCTCACACACTTTTCGGCCCTGGCTGGCTTTGAACCATGATGTTCAGACCTCAGGTATGAGCCACTGGTGCCCATCCTAGACCATTTTTGTTCAAGGAAACTGCACAATAACATTTCAGCCACAGCTTAACTTCTGGCTTATTTTCCTTGTTGGGTTATTGGAAATAAGAGACTATCTTTTAAATATCTGGTTTCCTGGATACTGTTGACTCATGTGTCTAATCCTAGTTAAACAGAAGCTAAGGATTGCACTTTAGAGCCAACCTTGATAGAATCGTCTGTGAGACAGAGCCAACCTTGATAGAATCGTCTGTGAGACTCTTATCTCCAATTAACCACCATAAAAGTGAAAGTGAAGCTGTGGATCAAAATTGTAGAGTCTTAGCCATGAGCAAAAATAGTGCTGGAACACCACCCAGGCCCTGAGTTCAAGCTCTGAGACATAAATAAATAAATAAATAAATAATGGCTTTCCACTGTAGGTGTCTCACACCTATAAACTTGGTAGTCAGGAGCTAAGATCTGAGGCTCACAGTTTGACGCCAGCCTGGACAGGAAAATTTGTGAGTCTCTTATCAGAAATTAGTAGAAAAGCCAAAAGTAGAACTGTGGCTCAAGTGGTAGAGTGCTAGCCTTGAGCAAAAGAAGCACAGTGATCATTAATTCTATCTCAGGGACTGCCTTTCCCAATTAAATAAATACATTAAAATGTTTAGGGCTTTGAGGAGTGACTAAGACTGCTGAGCATTAGCAAATGAGCATGAGCACTAGGTACCAAGCTGGAGTCCTGCTCTGACTAGGGCATGTGTGGGTCCTGCCACCCCACACCTTCACCATCTGGCTTACAGCAGGGGCAGGCCAAGCGAGATGGGGAGGAGGAAGAAACTGCTGGGTTTATGGAAACTTAAAGATGCTCCCAAACCCCGGCTTCAGTGGGAAAGTGAGTCAGGAGTTGATTTTCTGCAGGGGCATCTAGTGCTCCAGGGAGGCAGGTGATGTAGGAGCTAAGAATAAGGTTGATGTCTCTGCCTCTGTAGGGCAGGAAGGGAGCTTGGGCTGGGCACCTAGACCTAAGGAGCCAGCAAGTTAAGGTAGAGTAAAGTCTTGATGTAAGGGTCTGTTCCACATGTTGCCGTAAAGCAGCAAACCATGGGGTACCTGGAGCAAAGAACGTGCTTCTAGGCTCTGAATCCAGTTGGGGAAGGCTTGGATTTTGTCTTTGGTTCTAGGTTGGCTGGGGAAGGTTGTCTGCAGCTAGGCAGGGTCCAGCTGTGCTGCAGGCATAGAGCTGCTGCTGCCTGTCTGCTGGTTGGAGGAGGATTTTCTTTCTGGGCAGACTGTGAATCCAGATCCTCAGATTGCTGATTTTAAATAGCTAGGATTGCAGATGTGAGCCACCACCTCCTGTCTCATTTTAGAAGCCTTAATTCCTTTTTTTCCCCATATTTTTACCTCTAGGACCAGGACTCCCACAGGCCACCTTATGCTTTCATTCAATGGCTCTACTAATTTAGCCAGGCCTCCCCACCCCCTTAATGCCTCTTTTCTTCCAAATTTCCTTTTATTTTTTGTTTGACATTGTTAAATTTTCATTAATGAATTTATTTTTCTGTTGCTTCTAGCACTTGAACTTAGGGCCTGGCCACTATCCCAGGGTATTTTTGCTCCAGGTTAACATTCTCTATAACACATGAGCAATAGCTCAACTTTGTGTGTGTGTGTGTGTGTGTGTGTGTGTGTGTGTGTGTGTTTTAGAGACTTATTAGGAATAGGAGTCAAATTGAAATGACTGGCTTTTGGTGGGTGTGACTCACACATAAAACCCTAGCTATTCAGAAGATGAGATCTGAGGGTCAGAGTTTGAAGCCAGCCTGGGCATGAAAGTTTTTGAGACTCTTAGCTTGAAGTAACTACCAAAAGCCAGAAATGGAATTGTGGCTCAAGTGCTAGAATGCTTGAAAAAAAGCACCTCAAGGACAGAGTATAGGCCCTGATTTCAACCTCTAGGGATGCTCCTCACTAATGAATTATTTCAGGGCTTGGAAATGTGCCCCAGTGGGGAGAGTGCTTGATAATGAGCAAGACTTTTCATACCGATTTCAAGTGCAAGCCTGTGAAAGATAACTAGTCTGAAGAGGAGTCTGAAATTCATTTTCTTTTTCTTTTCATCTGTCTTCTGTCTTAACTACCTTAGACTTCTCTGCAACTCTCACTCGACCTTCCAAATTCAGACAAGTGACTTCAAACTCTTCCCACTGAGCAACATTTTAACTCTTGACAGAAGCATTTAACTTAATTAATGAGCTAATATTAAAGACACAATTATTTATGTTCTTACAATCCAAGAGAGTAACCGTGTTGGAGAAAATTCAATTTTCTACATGAAAAAGTGGCTTAAAATATTTTCCAACCAGGAATAAAAAATAGTGAACAGGGAGTCATTTATTCAAATTAGGAAAAGTGATGATGAAGCTTTCAAAAGTGTCCAAACACATAGGATAGAAACTTAGACATGTTATTGGGAAAACAGATACTCTACTTGCTCTAGCTGGGAAATTGTGTGTTTGTGTATGTGTGTGTGCGTGTGTGTGTGTGTGTACCTGCCGGAGCCTGCCAGCAATGAAAAGGAATCCTGATTTAGGGGGCGAGGATGAGGGAAAAAAAAGACATAAGACAAAGGATGGGGTCAAGATGTCTGCATTTCAAGACTGAAGCACCGTTTATTTTTAACTTTTCCTAATATATACTGTTAGAAGTCAAGAGGTAATATAAGGTTACTACAGTCCACAAAAATAAGAAAAATTTTGGTAAAAACAGAGTACAGTAAAAACTAGACAAGGTCAACTGGTTGAATGTAAAACAAACTCTGCAGACATAGCAAAGCAATCCCAGGCACCTGGTGTTATTCAAGTAAGCCAGTTTCTTGTATGTGACTTCAAGTGAGCACAAGGGTCAAGATGACCTTTGAGCTTTTCTGTCGGCTCCCAACATGTACCCACTACAGGTCTTCAGCTCAGGCCTTGGATCCTATCATCTGCTTATTCTGTGCAAGGATGGCAGTAACCACTGAGCCACAGGTCTTCTTTTGGCTTTTTAGTGGTTAATTGGAGATACATATCTCATAGATTTTCCTGTTTGGACTTAATCTTCTGATCCCCAGCAATCCTTGGATTAGTGTTACTGTGATGCTACCATAAAGTGACAGTTCATTAAAATGGGAACAATATGGAAGTACTTGTGCAAGATGCAAAGTAACCAAATTCATTAATTTGGGAATAACACAGGATCACATTAGAAGCCCAAAGCATAATCAAAACCTATTAGCTACAATGTATGAAACATCACATATTTATGGTGTAGAATATATACAATGAATTAAATCCTGAATCAAAAGTCTTTGCTGGGTTTTCTACTTTAAAAAAATCAGAAATAGAGTGTCATTGAAATGAAGTACAGACTGGAGGTTTGTAGCAAGCAGCAGAGCATCAGCTGAGTGAGCATAGGCCCTAAGTCCAAGCCCCAGGATCATAAAGAAGTAGAAGAAATTGAAAAAGAGGAGGAAAGAGAGCAACGGGAAAAGGAGGAGGAAGGGATGAGAGGAGGGAAACAAAAATAGAGGAGGAAGGGTAGATCAGGAGAAAGAGGAGGAGGGGAAGAAAGGAAGGAAGAAGAGGAGAGGAGTGAAGGAAGAGGGAAAAAAGACTGGGGGAGGAGGAGAGGAGACAGGAGGAGGAAGAGAAATGCAATATAACAACAAGAATTGTCGGCAAACATCTTGTATAAGTGATCTGCATCTGCATGGCAAGATTATTTTCTCATCAAAGAGATAGCTAACACAGTGAAAATGTGGGTGATTACCTGTGGCTCATTTTGTCATCAAAGCATTACATTGAGTTTTTACACTGCATACTCACTGAATTTAAAGTTATCACAGATGCATTCAAATGAAGGAGAATGAGTGTGAGGACTTCCATGTGCAGGGTGGTGTGAAGATCTCTCAGGAATATGTTGGCGATGTTGGAAGGCAATCCGTGATAAGCCCATTCCTCCTGACCCTTTCCAGGGAATATGTAACTGAGACTTCTTTTCAGGAGCAGGAAATAGTATGCACACTGATAAAATTAATTAAGCTCAAACAAGACAAATTTGATACACACTATTTCTTCACGGCTCAGCGGGTGGTGGAGAAAGGTTGGAGGCAGTGGCCGCGGCCTGCAATCTGGAACATTGGCCAGTTATGCTGTCTCCTGCACAACAAAACAGATCAGGACAACTCTGAGGAGGCACAGGCACTGTGGGTTCAGAAAAGAGAAACAGTGATGCCACCACTTCCATGTGCTTTAAATATATTACTATCTTATTAGCCATTAATGTTTTTATATTCTTCAATAATACTTTTTGGCAGCAATGCTCTCTTTCATTCTCTCTCTCTCCCTCCTTCCTTCCCCCCCCTCTCTCTCACACACACACACATACAATTTTTTTAAAAGAAACTAATTTGTTACCAAAAATAGGAACTTTTAGCCAGGTGCCAGTGGCTCATATCTATAATGCTAGCTACACAGGAGGCTGAGATCTGAGGATCGTGGTTCAGTGCCACCCTGGGCAGGAATGTCTGGTTGTTTGTAACTCTGGGTTATTTTTCCAACTTTGCTTTTATATAAAGCTATTCTTTTAAGAAAATATAATTTACAAAACAATAATAACAACCAGATAGTCAATATTTACAAATAACCAGCAAAGAGGAATTTGAAGGTTCCTAATACAAAGTAATAAGAACATAATCAGTACATATTGTTCACAAGCATTGAAATATAAGACCATATGCCACAAATATGTACCATATGGGCTAAACAAACTTAAAAAATTAATGATCTATAGGTAAGATGTGGAACCATCTCAGATGCCCCTCAAGACAATATGGAATATACACACAATGGAATTCTATGCCCACATCAGAAAGAATGACATCTCCCCATCTGTAAGGAAATGGAAAGAGTTGGAAAAAATCATATTAAATGAGGTCAGACAGATCCACAGAAACAGACTCCACGGTTTCCCTCATTGGTAATAACTAGTGTGTGTCTAGTATAGTCCTAAAAGAGGATCACAACAGCTCAATAGCTATGTACATATGGACCATATAAGATGATGCTAAGTGAAATGAATTCCAAGATGTGGAAACGAGGTTTTTCTTTGTCGGTGTTCTTTTTAAGGTGCTATGATTTTTTCTTTTAACTTTTCCCTATGGTTTATCCCTTGTTGTCACTCTATTTGATTTCGGTAATCTGTGTATTGTATGTACGTTTACCTGAATAGGGAATGGGAACAACAAAATGGTGAGAAAAAAGACAAAGAGCAAACCTACGCAACAGTGATACTCATGAGACAATATGTTGGAAATGAATTTCATAAGTTGTGGGGGGTAGTGAGAGGTGGAGAAGTGGGAGAGAAAGGAGGGAGGGTATAACAATATTCAACAAGAAATATAATACCTTACTTATGTAACTGTAACTCCTCTGTACATCACCTTGGCAATAAAATTAAAGAATTTTTCAAGGGAAATAACATTTGAAGGGGAATAACCATGTCTTGCTTTTGAGGTTTCTTCAAAATTTTACCCAAAAAATTACACATTAGTTTCCAAAAAAATTAATGATATAGAAATGCAAATTATCTTGATTTAATCATGACAACCATGTACATGTGCTGAACTGTCCTTCCGTGCCCCATAAATTTGTCCAATTAAAAAATACAAATAAAATCATAGAATGGCACATAGAATTGACAATATGTATAATTTAATTTAAACACTTGATATTTTACCAACTGACTAAAAGCTATAACTGTCATGTTAAATAAATAGAAGAAATATGTCCATTAAACGTGTTCTTTCTTTACTGGGATTCTGGAAGTTTTTGTTTGCATCTTTGAAAATCTATTTAACAAAAGATCCAAAATATCTTTGTTGTTTGTAAATTAGTCTTCTTAAATTTTTATTACATTTTGTTCAGAGTCACTTGGAAAAGCTTATATCACTCAACAAAGAGAATTATCAAGTTTACCTTCAGGTCTTAAAGCTGAAGTAGATTAGAATTGTAAACAACTGAAAAACAGAAAGATACAGAGGAACTACAAGATCTAATGATGGGAACTCAATGTACAATTTAACCATCGAACTGCTCTTGTGACCAGGGATATCTCAACTAACAAGCCTTTCTTGATGCATGCCCTATCTTGTGCTAATGAATACTGTATTTTATATCAGAATGATATGTTTTATAATTTTGAAGCATCTAAATGTAGGGAACTTTCCTAAGAATTGTCACAGACACATTTTGTTTGCCAAGTCTCATTTATATGAAGTTGAGAAATGTGTCAATATATTTGACAAATGATGACTTTGAAAGTAGTAATAACATTGTAGGTTAAAACATTAGCCAGGTGCCAGTGGTTCATGTTTGTAATCCTAGCTACTGATGTGGCTGAGATTTGAAGATCATGGTTCAAAACTAGCCTTGGCAGGAAAGCCTAAGACTCTTATCTGCAATTAATAACCAAAATTAAAAATAAAACACAGGAGGTGAGGCTGGGTCTCATGTGGTAGAATGCTGGCCTTAAGCAAAAAAATTCAAGGACAACACCCAAGCCCTGAGTTCAGGCCTCAGGACTGGCACATACAAACATAACAAACAGAAACATTATATATGCCAACATTTATACATTATGAAACAAAACACGAGAATGGAGAGTACCCCTCATTTTTCAAAATTGTTTTATGCTTATGCATTTTAACACTAGAGTGTTGTTCTTAGTTTAAAACATCATCTACACAGAACTATCAATTGCTAATGTCTATAATATCCAATTAATTAATCAGGAGACCTAACTCTAAAGGTTATAAACAACACTGTAGGCAAGGAAAGCAGAATATGGCCACTTAGACCCAAGTCTCATTATATTCTTGGACCCTCCAAAATCTGAATAAGACAAACTTGGAAATCAGTAAAGTTTGTCACGCGTGTGTGTGTGTGTGTGTGTGTGTGTGTGTGTGTGTGTGTGTACACTGGAGCTTGAATCAGGGTCCCGCACACTAATTTTGGTTCTTCATTCAAGGTTGGGGCCCTCCACTTTGATCACAGATTCAGTTCCATAAAGATCATCTTTTCTTCCTTTATTCAACTCTCTTCTCTTCCTGGGTCTTTTCAACCTTTTTCAGAAATTCCAGGTGCTATGTTTCTATTTCAAGCTCTCCTTAGGAGAGCTCCACACACAGGAGACACACAGGGACCTTGTTTAGATGCCAACTCTTCAGCAAGTAGTCGGAGGACAGGTGTCTTCAATTCGGGGAAGCTCCTGGGGGAACTAAGGCTGCAGGTCTCAGGTCCTTGATTAGCAAAGACTGAAAAAAGATGTGATCTAAAACCAGTGCCTGCTGAGCTCCTGGGAACTGAATAACCAATCTCCCTCTCCTGTGGCTGTGTTTTAGGACCTATATCTGGTAGAACACTTTTGAGACTCTATGCACTCAAATTATATCCCTAACATTACATATCAACTCAGAGACCAAAAATAGTAGGTGGGACAGTTGAATAAGAACTCATTTTTGTTCTGTGAGTTTCTTATGCTCTTCAACAAAATGCCAGCCTTGATTTACTGGCACAGTGTGTTTATTTCACAGAAAAAGGAAGGAGGAAAGAAAAGAAGGAAAAGGAAGGAGATGAGGAAAAGAAGCAAGCCAGCAAGAAGTTAGTTTGCCAGGGAACATACAGTCATGGGAATGGCTGGAAGGACTTGCCAAATGGTCAAAGCAACCCATATCAAAAGGGCCTTCTCTGAGGGATGCTTACTTTGGAGTCATGTATATTTTGATGAAGACTGAGCTCACTGGGTAATGATTCCTGGAACCAGGAATAAATAATAAGCTCTCTTCTAGGTGGGACTTCAGAGCCATACACAGAGGTAAGCCAGCCATTTCTTGACAGAGAGAAACATGTTCCAAATTTTAAAGCAGCTACAGAAATGAGGTACAGTGTTTTGGAGTGTTTAGTCATTTGAAGGAACATGGTTCTGGGGGAAGGTGGGAAAAGAGACAATGCATAAGGATTTTTTTCGCATATAAATAATTTGGAATTTTCCTGCTAAAATCATCCCTGAATTTCGTGAAACTGACCCCCACAACAGAGTATTCTCAAACTCCACGCTATCTAATAAAGTCTCTAAGTAACTTTCTAAGTTACTTTTATATATAGTCAACTGAACTAAGCTATGGTACCTAGTTATTTGTTTCAGTTCTTAGGTATGTTAGTGAGAAGCATTAGCCTTTAAATCCAGAGACTCTGAGTACAGCAGATAACCCTCTGTACGTAGGCAGTGCTCATGTAAGAGAGACGGCCCAAACAGAACAGACTGAACTCTGACCTCCCTGAGGAAGCCTGCAGATTTTTTTTATGGTGGCTTTTTTGGTTGTGTGGGATTTTAATTGTAGTTGCCTTTTTCAGCATTTGAAGTAAAGTATTTGTGCTGACTAGGCAGACACTCTACATTTTTTGAGAAATGCCCCAAGATTTTGGCATTTTTAAAGAATAGATCTTTGTTTTTTCCCCCAGGCCAGTCTAGACTTTAGCCTTACTATTTATATTTCTCACATAGGTGGAATAGCAGCATATACCACCGTGCCAGATGTTGAGTTTGTAAACATTTTGTCTTGGCTGACTACTAATCATAATCCTCCAGTCACTGCCTCCCAATGCTGAGATTATAGAAATGAGTACAAACAGCCTTTTTTCTCCCTATCAGCAGCTCTCAGGGTTTCCAGCCTGTCATCTTCCCCTGTAGCTCTACAATCGTGTGTCAATCCCTTAACATCAACCCGACCCTATGTAATATATGTTTGTATATATATTACATGTGCGTGCATATGCACATGCATATGCATGCACACATCAATTATTGGTCACGTTTCTCTGAGGAACTCTAGTGGCAGTGGCTGAAGTCATTTCACTTGTTAATCTCATGTAAACTAATGTACCAGCCTGACAGGAGAGATGGCATTGCCAACACCCCAAAGATACAAGAGAACTCTAGTTGTTGCTGAATTTAAAGCATTCAAGTATTATTCAGTGGACCAGGCCACTTTCTAAAGCCTCAGATGTTCAGCAAAACTGTCATATTTTAACTCCAGACAGTGGTTATTATGGTACACACGTATGAAAATATTTCCAAATACATTTAAAAATTAGACAACCTGCCTAATAGATCAGTGGACTTTATTAATCAAATTAGAATGTACTCACCATATTTTCTTAGGAGACAGGTGATACATTACCCTTTAGGCCACACACACACACACACACACACACACACACACACACACACACACACACACATATCTGTATACAGATTCATAATACACAAATCCATGTACACAGAACCAAAGGCAGTCTGCCTGTACCTTGCTGTAACTCCCTACAATGTCAGGGCCTCTGTATCCTAATGCAAGTTCCTGGGGCGTTTGTCAGCTCCTTCCTCAGGTTAGCAGGTGACAGACATTAACGTAGAAATGACACTCTCCTGTGTTTTGCCAGGTATGTTATTGTGTCTCTCCCTGTCACAGCCAAACAATGCAGGGATATGAATATAACCAACTGCTCTGTAAGTAAGAAGCAGAGCTAGTGCCATGCTTTCCCTCCAGGCACAGACTGTCCACAGGTTTTCTCTGTGTTCTCTCCTATCTTTGCATACCCTGTCCTTGTCACTATAACTAAGCAGTTACAACCCACACACCACGTTCTCTCAAGCTCACTTCACTTCAGGAAAACAAATAACCCTATTTATTTTCAGTTAGTCAATTATCTACAGATATTTCAAACTGTTTTGTTTTCTATGTGAAGAATCTTACATGACTTCCTTATGGTGCTGGTGTTTCATCTGGATTATCTCTGTTTGAATCTTATGGTTAGAGAATTATACATACACTGAGAGGTCTGTGCTTTTTTCCTCTGCTGTGTGCTTGCAGTATATTGGTTTTTCTCTGAATGCATCTGTTATATTAGAAGAGAGCTACCAGCACTGTGATTCCTTCCTTCCTCCTTCCTTCCTTTCTACATTTGCATCTCTAGCTAACCAAGCAACAGTGGGAAGCAGGTACTAGGCCAACAGATCCCCGAGGAATATAAGAAAAGTATTTTGCATCCCAAACACTCATGCTAGCAAATGGTGTCTCTGTCAGAGAAGATGACACAGGAAGATCCTGAGACATTCCCTTCATAAACAAATATGAGCGGGTGGTTCTGGAATTATTCCACCTCAATCCAGAGGAGATTACAACTCTTGGTTACAAAAGTTACGAATTACAAAGTAACTTATCATGTATGAAAAGGTGCAGTCTGCCATGGCTGCTCAGATCAATACTCATGGGTACTTCTCCAGCCTCCCTGGAGTCTTCTGCCAGAGCTTTTGCCAGTTGCTCCAGGCAACCAACCATGTAACTATACTTTTGCCATTTCAGATTCCAGGATGGAGAACTCCCTGCTAAGAGCTAGTGATCTATCACTTGCTAACCCATGATCCTTTCCCTTTTTATTTTAGTTTATACTCCAGAAAGGGTCTGGCAATTTTCCTCAGGCTGGCTTCCCAAAGATATACCCATTAAGTAAGGCAGCAAAACTTAGAGCAGAAAATTTTTTACAAAATTTCTTGAAGCTGGTGGCTCATGGCTGTAATCCTAGCCACTCAGGAGGCTGAGATCTGAGGATTGCAGTTCAAAGCCAGCCCAGGCAGGAAAAGTCAGTGAAACTCTTATCTTCAATAAACCACCAGAAAACCGGAAGTGTCACTGTAGCTCATGTGGTAGAGCACTAGCCTTGAGCTGAAGAGCTGAGGGACAGTGCTCAATCCCAGAGTTCAAGCCCCATGACCGACAAAAAAAGAAGACAAAAAGAAACATTTGTTGAGCTTGGTCAAAGTAATTCTGCAAAGTCAGACAATATTTAAGAAAAACAAAAATAATAGCAAAGACACACAAAGTCTGCTTAAAAAATTTTAACCCCACCCCTGTAAGAGGAAAGCAGATTTACTCAAGTTTTAAGTCAG